GTTACCACTGTCGCTGGCTTTGCCTCTTCCCACCGCATTGACTACGCCGCTCACGTGGTGAGTGGCCCTGTTCGTTCTCCATTCTCTTGGGGTGCTCGTGTCTTTCTGTTGGAGGTCCTCAAGGACAAGCAGTTCGAGCTCGGTTTCCTTGCGGCCGCTGGTCCTCATCTTTGCGCCATGCTACTTGCCCCTGAGGGGGATCCAGACGCCCTTGACATCCCGATCCCTCGCACTCACGCTGAGGCGGTCTCGGGACCCTGGGCTTCATACTGGATAGCAGCTGAGGAGGCAGAGATGGCATCTTATAGGTCCACAGGCACTTACGTTGACGCAGTCTCACCACCTGGGACAAACGTCGTTAGTGGCCGATGGCTCTACAAGGTGAAGCAGCCGCCTGGATCACCACCTGTGTTGAAGGCACGCTATGTGGCGAGAGGCTTCAGTCAGCGAGAGGGGGTGGACTTCTTCCAGACCTTCGCTCCCACGCCAAAGATGAGTACCCTTCGGGTGTTGCTGCATATTACAGCCCAGTGCGACTACGAGATGCACTCCTTGGACTTTTCCACCGCGTTCCTTCAGGGGAGCCTGCACGAGCAGATCTGGCTGCAACGCCCGTCTGGCTTCACTGTCTCTTTCCCACCTGAGACCCAATGGCAGCTGTGTCGACCAGTCTACGGCCTGCGTTAGGCTCCACGTGAGTGGCACGACACACTTCGCTCGACCCTTGCAGCTCTTGACTTCTTTCCGTCGTCTGCTGACCCGTCACTGTTCGTTCGCCGTGGCTCGACCCCGTTCTTTGTCCTGGTCTACGTCGACGACCTGGTGTTCGCCACTCCTGACCGACGCGCGCTGGCCTCCGTGAAGGAGGAACTGCAGATAAGACACACTTGAACTGACCTTGGTGAGCAGCAACACTACCTTGGCCTGCAGATCACCACGGACAGGGCAGCTCGCACCATTACGCTGACTCAGTCGCATATGGTCGAGCAGATCCTCACGCGGTTTCGCTTCCGCTCTCCAAGGTACAGCTCACCCCTCTTGGTGTGGATCATGGGCTCACGGCTCCACCTTCGGATGAGCCATTTGAGTCCAGCGGTCCATATCCTTAGCTGGTGGGTTGTCTCATGTACCTGATGACCTGCACTCGCCCAGACCTAGCTTACCCTCTTAGCGTCCTTGCGCGCTTTGTTGCGCCTAGGAGACACCGACCTTCCCACTGGTACGCTGCTAAGAGGGTGGCGAAGTATGTGGCGAGTACATCAGGCATGGGACTTGTCCTTGGAGGGAAGCAGCCAGTTACACTCACAAGTTACTCAGACTCGTCGTGGGCCCACGACGCGGAGACGCGCCGGTCTACATAGGGGTACTCCTTTAGCCTCGGGGCCGGTGCTGTTTTGTGGCGGTCGACTCGGGCGTCGTCTGTCGCCGGTTCCAGTTGTAAGGCAGAGGTGTACGCTGCGGCCATGGCCGCTTAGGAGCTTCGATGGCTGTCTTTCCTTCTCATCGACCTTGGTGAGCAGCCTCGCGCACCCCCAGTCTTGTTCGCCGACAACAGGTCTGCTGTCCTGTTGTGTGAGGAGCCTCGACTGGTTGGGAAGGCGAAGCACATCCAGCTTCGTTACTTCCTTCTGCGTGAGTTGCAGCAGCGTGGCCAGGCCCGCGTGGTACGTGTGGTCTCTGAGGCCAACACTGCAGATATCTTCACCAAGGCGTTGCCGCCTTGTGACCACCAGCGTTTCTGCACCCAGCTTGGCCTTGTGTCAACAGGCCCTCACTTGCTTGTGTAGAGATGCTTTGCATTGTACTCTTGCATCTCTTTATATTTGCTATATATATATGCACATACACTGGCCTTGTGGCCCTGTGCTTCTGTAGAGATGCTTGTCGTGTACTCTTGCATCTTCTATATTTGCTATATCCTTGCATATGGACTGGCCTTGTGGCCCCTTGCTTGTTCTCAGACTGTGTGGTGATCTTGAGATCCACCCCGAGATTTGTTGTGTTTATTTGTGAACTGGTCATGTGACCCTTGCTGTGTGTTGCTTTCCACAGGACTACCGTCACCTAGACTATGGGGGTGTGTCAAGCTATATTTGTTATAGCATATTTGTGTTAGTCTAGGTGTACTTTATGTTTCCCTAGGGTTAGCGTTATGCTTGCTATATCTTGGTTGTTTGTCATTTTCCTTCGTCAATTTTACGTTGTGACAGTACCTCCACTACAAGCACCTCTGGGACCAGTAGCTTCAGCACCTCCAGTAGCAGCAGCAGCACCAGCTCCGGCTGCTCCAGTGCCTCCAGTATGAGCACCTCCGGGACCAGCAGCTCCAGCAGCTCCAGAAACTCCACTACCTCCAGTACCTTTAGAACTAGCAGCACCACCAGCTCCGGCAGCTCCAGCGCCACCAGCACGAGCATCCCCGGGACCACCAGCTCCAGGGCCTCCAACTCCAGCAGCGCCACTCCGAAGGCTACAGCGCCGAGCGTACCACTCGCGCAACTGCAGTGGTGAGAGAGGCTCCCGCCAGCTAGACCGCTGGGGCGAAGCACCAGTGGGACCTCCAGGACTAGTAACACCAGCACCTCCAGTACCTCCAGTACCAGTACTACCTCCAGCACCTCCAAGACGAGCAGCTCCAGGGCCTCCAGCTCCAGCAGCGCCACTCCGAAGGCTACAGCACCGAGCGTACCACTCGCGCAACTGCTGTGGTGAGAGAGGCTCCCGTAGTGTAGACGCAGGACCCCTAGGCTCAGCACCCTTAGGCTCAGCACCCCCAGGCTTCGCACGCTCAGACGCATCACCCCTAGGCTCCGGACGCTCAAACGCAACACCCCCAGGCTCAGCACCTCCAGGCTCCGCACGCTCAGGTTCAGCACCCCCAGGCTCCACACGCTTAGGCTCAGCACCTCCAGGCTCCGCACGCTCAGGCTTCGCAACCGCAGGCTCAGCACCCCCAGACACAGCACCCCGAGCAGCACCAGAGTCACCAGTGACCTCGAACGGCTCAACCAAGGGGAGTGGGTCTACCTGAGACACACCTGAATGAGCAGGACCCTGAGGGGGGAGGGGGTCTATCGGAGGGGGACCTGGAGCGAGGAAGAGCGGCGGGGGGGGGGGGGGGGGGGGGGGGGGAGGGGGAGGAGCAGTGCTGTAGGGAAAGAGATGGTAAAAGGGAACCGGCTCGTCGAATGTGATGTCCTGAGAGGGTAGGACACGGCGCAAGATGGGGTGGTAAAACTGCTAGTCAGGCACGTTAGGGAGAAAGCCAAGGAAGACGCAGGGAACGGTGCGCGAGGAGAGCTTGTCCGCGGAGGTATCGCAGACAAAGGCACGAGAGCCCCAGACCCGGAACATTGACGCATCGCCAACCTCTCTTGTCCAACGCAGTGGGCGAGGTCTCCGGCAAGGAGACACGGTGCCAGAGGTTGAGCTGATGCGCAGCGTATCGGACCGCAAACGGCCATAGAAAATGCGGGCTAGCCGCATGGATCATGGAGGTACGAGCGACCTCCATGACTAGGCCAATGTGACACTGAGCAACCCCATTCTGCTGCGGAGAGGCCGGAAGCGTGAACCACTGGGTGATGCCCTCCCCACGACAAAATTCCAGCAAGAGGTCGGAGGAGAACTCACCACCTTTGTTAGAGTGCAGACGCATGACAGGAAGGTTCGTGTCGAACCGCTCGCGGAGCTGGAGACGGACAGCACGGATCCAAGGAATCAAAACATCAGGGACCTTCCCCTTGCTGCGCAAGGGGGAGACGGTGGTGTAACGCGAGTAGTCGTCAACAACCAGTAGAAAGTATCGCTCGCAGCCCTGTCCCTGGACGCGGGCGGGGCCCCACACGTTAATGTGGAGAGTCTGCAGGGGAGCAGTCGACGGGGGAAACGAGGAGTGAGGAGTGGGGGGGGGGGGGGGGGGGGGGGGGGGGTATTAGATGCTCAAAGGGGCCCTCAAGGCAGGGTTGATGTACTGTAAAAAAAAAAAAAAAAAAAAAAAAAAAAAAAAAAAAAAAAAAAAAAAACTCTGACTCTTTTGTGCACAGACCCTAACTAGCCTGAAGGTCATTTGCCAAGATATGGCTGGTCGGAAATGTCAAGGACTCAAGTGAAAGCTATTCTGAAACTTTCAGAGTTGATAAAGGTGAAAAAGCGAAAGAGTTGGGGGAGAGCAGGGCCTTAGATATCAGACTTTTTAGTCTGATTCAGAGTCCGTTCAAACTATTTTTTTGTACCTAGTCTGAAGTCTAACAATTTTTTTATGTACATTCTCTGATTTTTCAGAGTTCTTTTATATTAGTTGTCTGAAATTTCAGCCTAATTTTATCAGTGCAGGCTGAGCCTCAGACTTGTATCGGGGGTGCACTCTGCGAGCTTATCGAAGCGAAGTTTCATGGAAGTTTCTATTCGATATGCGCACTTCCGAGATTGCAGTGAAGTGCCAGAGCGTGAGCAACGTACACTTCAACAGCTGGGACATCCGAATACACTCGTTCGTTGAGAATTTCTCCTAGTTGCGCTAAGAAAATGGTTGAGTCGCGTGATTACGAGATTTCTAAGATAAAATCTCGTCACATGTAAATTATCGCTGATGTATTGTAAAGAATAGGCGATTTTGATGCTGATTCGTTGTAAAAACATCTGCAGCACACACTGATGTGAAATTGCGAAGCTCCTGTTTCGTAGTAAAAGTTTTTTTTGGTTTTTTTTTTTTTTTGGTTTTTTTTTGTTGTTTTTTTGTTGCAACAATGATACGGTGGGGTTGTAAGTATTGAAGACAGAACAGTCATTCACACCATGTGTCTCGCCATAGTGTGTCTAAAAAAAGAAAGGGAATGAAGAAAGAAAGGGAGAAGGAAAATGAAACTCCCAAAAAGAACCCAAATGCAACACACATAAAACCCCCCCTCAAGATACCCAATCAAAACGCCCAGTCAAGACACCCCATCAAGACATCCCATCCCACACCCCATCCCCCCCGCCCCCCCCCCCCCCTTCAATTACATCAACGTATCGACCATGTACGGGGCCTCCACCCAGAGAGCCCCGCCTTTCACATCGACATCGTCCCTCTCCCGATCCGCCAAATCTACGTTAATCCCCCCCATGGAAGACGCCGTTCGAAGCAGGATGACACGGGCTTGCGCACGTTGTAACGCCACCCCGATGAGCGCCTTCAGTGACCCTAAAAGATAAGCCGAAAACGCAGAGTCGTCCTCTCGACAAGCCCCCCGCGATATAGCTAGCCTTACGTGCGCATCCCCCTGCTGACGAAGCCACCGCTGAAAACGACCGCCGAGACACCCCCACGTCTCAACTATCAAAGGGGTGAATTGCACGCCCCGGTTGCGTGCAAGTAGAGGCGCGTAATCACTCGTTTTGCGACGCTCCCATTCCCTTGCCGCCACACCTATTTGACGCTCGCACTGTCCCAGCAGTGATGGAGACAGCGATAGCGGGTCCGCGACGCTGATCTCTAGGGCGTGAGCCTCTCCAGCCATTGGACGTCGCACCGCCACATCAACCTGCTTCCCTTGCAGCACCACACTATCCTCCAATGTCACCACCCCACCCGATGCCTTAGAGATCTTCGCCACCGCAAACTTCACCTCATCATGCAACCGAGAAGGACCATGCTGGTGCCTGCATCTCAGGGCATGGTGCGGGTCTGCTGGGTCAACATACGCTGTGCCACACACACACCTCCCCGCCACCTGCAGCTGCTGAATTGGGAGGCCGAGCCGTATAGCAGCAGCAATGCCCCACTCAGCCGCAGTGAATGTGAGATCTGAGTGAGCCAGAACCGCCGAAACCCATGCACCTGCCCCCGGGCCCTGAAGGGATGTGAAACGGGCCAAGGTAGCATCGTCACGAGCCAAGCGGCGCAGTGCCTGGAGCTCCTCTACAGCTAACTGCCGCTGACACGCTTGGAAAAGCCGAATAGGAGGGGCCGCTACACACAGAGGTAAGCCCGGTATCTCGTGGCGGATAGTCGCTGGCAGCTGCTCGAGAGCCTTGACAGACCACGGGTCAAGAAACTCTGCCCCTGTCGAAGTGGTGAGGTACTCAGCAAACATCGCCTCCTCACCTGCCACCCCTAACTGTGCAATGTCCCGCGCGGCCTGCGCCCACCCGCAAACATAGGACAGTGGGCTCAAAGAGGCCGCCGCCCGGATCCCGAACCCACCGAGACGCACAGGGAGATGCAGCTGCATGCGTGCGCTCCTAGACCGGTCGGGGTCCTGCTCCCAAGTGCTAGGTAGGAAAAGTTGCTCAAAGCAATCCTCTAAACAGCTGTCCCAATCCCTAAAAGCCTCAACCACCTCCGGACGCGGCGGCATAGTCCGGGCGAGGTACATCAGCCGCGCTGAAACTGCAATGGCGAGGAGGTGTGAAGCCATCTGGGGGTGGTCGAGCAAGGGGAGCCATGGCAGTGGCGCCTGCAACTGTCGAAGCCACTCCCATAGCCGGACCACCTCCCAAACCTCCTCTCCAATAGACACGCCCACCACAGTAAGACCCTCATCCACCCGCTGCATCCCCAATGGCAGTGCCCGCTCCACCTCCTTGCCCTCGCGCTCCCAAAACCGGCACTTGTGCGCCTGCACCTCCAGCCCCACCCACTCCAACCGCTCCCGCAGCACCCCAAAGGCCTCCAGAATCCTAGCCGCTGGCCCCAAAATATAGGTATCATCTGCATAGCTGAGGAAAAGCAGGTCCTTGAACTCCCTTGTAACCGGCTCCATCACCTGCTGCTGCGTGAATGCGAAAAGAAAAGGGCCGAGCGGGTCCCCCTGCCTCGATCCCCGTGCTGACTCGAGGCTCTGTACGAAAGGGCCTGCTCAGAGGTACAGGTCGCTAGGTGTCCCATAAAAGACACGCAAGAATGGGATCATCCGTGAGAAAGGCGACTCCCGCAGCCCATCGAACATCACATGACGGTGAAACGAATTGAAGGCGTTTGCGACGTCTATCTGTAGCGCACACCAGTCGGGGTGAGTGGCCAGCGGTGACCGGAAAGAATGAGTGAGAATCTCCGCCCCGACCCTGGTGCCCGCTCCCAGCTGGTTGCACGGCAGGAAGTAGGAAACCATCGCAGGGCGGAGCGAGATGCACAGAGCACGAGCAAGTATACGAGGAAGCACCTCCCCGATCGCCACCGGCCGGACGTCGCCGTTAGGCTTGGAAAGCCCGACTAGGTTGGATGCGGCGAGCCACGGCCGAGCCCGCTTGGGGACCTGTCCCGCCACCCATTGGTTGAACACTTCCAACAGGTGGGAAAGGCAGGTAGGTTCAGTAAGGAAGGTGTCGCGCAGATGCTCTGTGACCCACCCCGATGGCCCTGCTGCTGAGGCTCGAGCGGCTGTATGGATAGCTCTGGCCAGGATGTCGGTCGTAAGTGAAGGCAGCTGAGCGGTATCGATGGTGAAATTGCGGACCCACTGTGGTACCTCGCCTGCGCTAGCCGGGTGCTTCTCTCGCAGAGACTGCACCATGACCTCAGACGGTCGAGCCAACTCCCCTTCTGTAAGGCAGGCCAATCCTCGGCTCCACTCCCCCACTTTGCACTGAGATCGGCACCGTGACAGGCGGATGGCATCCGGGTCCTAGTCAGAGCGAGTGTAGGAAAGTGGGAGAACTGCTGGCCGCGCTGCCGCCATGGCAGAGTCAAACAGCTCCCGCCACCTCCCCTCCCAGAACGCACCCAACCGCTCTGTGATCAGCGCCTTCTGACCTATGCCTGGCTTGGGAGGCATGGCTAGGATGAGGCGCGGAAACGCCAAGAGTAGGAGGGTAGCGGCTTCATCTCCTGGCTGGCTCTTCAAGCGCTTAAGGATGCAACAGAGCGCGTCTAAGACCCCCGACCTGGCCCGCTGTGGGATCCGGCGAACTGTCCTCCCTCCAACCGCCTCCACACTGAAAAATGTTTCCCATTCCCATGACGTAACCCCAGCCCACGCCTCGTCCCCAAATTCCCGCGGCGTCGATCGCTCCTGCGTGTCGGTCTCCACCAGAGACGGAATCGAGCCGAGAGCCTGTGCACGCCTCTCCGCCTCAGCCGCTTGACATACCCTCATGTGGTTCGCAGCAGCCCCCCGCGTAGCGAAAGTGTGGAAACACGTGTCGCACGGGAAGCGAGGGCATGGGGAAGGCGGCATGGGAGGTTCTTCGTCCGCCTCTGACTCCTCCACAGTCGCCATGGGGGTATCAAGCTCCAGAAGTCGACACCACTCCTCCAACTGTTGCTCCTGGTCGTCCATCGATCGCCCCCCTGCTTGCTGCGCTCCTTGGGGTGCCCAGGGCACCCTCGGCTGCCCCCCTGGCTGCTGCGCTCCCTGGGGTGCCCCGGTCACCCCCGGCTGCCCCCCTGCCTGCTGCTCTCCCTGGGGTGCTCTGGGCACCCTCCGCTGCCCTCCTGCCTGCTGCACTCCCTGCCCTCCTGCCTGCTGCACTCCCTGGGGTTCCCCAGGCACCATCGGCTGCCCTCCTGCCAGCTGCACTCCCTGGGGTGCTCGGGTCACCCCCGGCTGCTCCCCTGCCTGCTGCTTGCCCTGGGGTGCTCGGGTCACCCCCGGCTGCCCCCCTAGCTGCTGCTCCCCCTGGGGTGCTCCGGTCACCCCCGGCTGCCCCCCAGCCTGCTGCTCTCCCTGGGGTGCTCCAGGCATCCTCGGTTGCCCTCCTACCTGCTGCACTCCCTCGGGTGCCCCGGGCACCCTCGGCTGCCCTCCTGCCTGCTGCACTCCCTGGGGTGCCCCGGGCACCCTCGGCTGCCCTCCTGCCTGCTGCACTCCCTGGGGTGCCCCGGGCACCCCCGGCTGCCTTCCTGCCTGCTGCACTCCCTGGGGTGCTCCGGGCACCCCTGGCTCCCCACCTGCCCGCTGCACTCCCTGGGGTGCCCCGGGCACCCTCGGCTGCCCTCCTGCCTGCTGCACTCCCTGGGGTGCCCCGGGCACCCCCGGTTGCCCCCCTGCCTGCTGCACTCCCTGGGGTGCCCCAGGCACCCCCGGCTGCCCTCCTGCCTGCTGCACTCCCTGGGGTGCCCCGGGCACCCTCGGCTGCCCTCCTGCCTGCTGCACTCCCTGGGGTGCCCCGGGCACCCGCGGCTGCCCTCCTGCCTGCTGCACTCCCTGGGGTGCCCCGGGCACCCCCAGCTGCCCCCCTGCCTGCTGCACTTCCCGGGGTGCCCCGGGCACCCCCGGCTGCCCCCCTGCCTGCTGCACTCCCTGGGGTGCCCCGGGCACCCCCAGCTGCCCCCCTGCCTGCTGCACTCCCTGGGGTGCCCCAGGCACCCTCGGCTGCCCTCCTGCCTGCTGCACTCCCTGGGGTGCCCCGGGCACCCCCAGCTGCCCCCCTGCCTGCTGCACTCCCTGGGGTGCCCCGGGCTCCCTCGGCTGCCCTCCTGCCTGCTGCACTCCCTGGGGTGCTCCGGGTACCCTCGGCTGCCCTCCTGCCTGCTGCACTCCCTGGGGTGCCCCGGGCACCCCCTGCTGCCCTCCTGCCTGCTGCACTCCCTGGGGTGCCCCGGGCACCCTCGGCTGCCCTCCTGCCTGCTGCACTCCCTGGGTTGCCCCGGGCACCCTCGGCTGCCCTCCTGCCTGCTGCGCTCCCTGGGGTGCCCCGGGCACCCTCAGCTGCCCTCCTGCCTGCTGCACTCCCTGGGGAGCCCCGGGCACCCCCGGCTGCCCCCCTGCCTGCTGCACTCCCTGGGGTGCCCCGGGCACCCCCTGCTGCCCTCCTGCCTGCTGCACTCCCTGGGGTGCCCCGGGCACCCTCGGCTGCCCTCCTGCCTGCTGCACTCCCTGGGGTGCCCCGGGCACCCTCGGCTGCCCTCCTGCCTGCTGCGCTCCCTGGGGTGCCCCGGGCACCCTCAGCTGCCCTCCTGCCTGCTGCACTCCCTGGGGAGCCCCGGGCACCCCCGGCTGCCCCCCTGCCTGCTGCACTCCCTGGGGTGCCCCGGGCACCCTCGGCTGCCCCCCTGCCTGCTGCACGCCCTGGGGTGCTCCGGGTACCCTCGGCTGCCCTCCTGCCTGCTGCACTCCCTGGGGTGCCCCGGGCACCCCCTGCTGCCCTCCTGCCTGCTGCACTCCCTGGGGTGCCCCGGGCACCCTCGGCTGCCCTCCTGCCTGCTGCACTCCCTGGGGTGCCCCGGGCACCCTCGGCTGCCCTCCTGCCTGCTGCGCTCCCTGGGGTGCCCCGGGCACCCTCAGCTGCCCTCCTGCCTGCTGCACTCCCTGGGGAGCCCCGGGCACCCCCGGCTGCCCCCCTGCCTGCTGCACTCCCTGGGGTGCCCCGGGCACCCTCGGCTGCCCCCCTGCCTGCTGCACTCCCTGGGGTGCTCCGGGTACCCTCGGCTGCCCTCCTGCCTGCTGCACTCCCTGGGGTGCCCCGGGCACCTCCTGCTGCCCTCCTGCCTGCTGCACTCCCTGGGGTGCCCCGGGCACCCTCGGCTGCCCTCCTGCCTGCTGCACTCCCTGGGGTGCCCCGGGCACCCTCGGCTGCCCTCCTGCCTGCTGCGCTCCCTGGGGTGCCCCGGGCACCCTCAGCTGCCCTCCTGCCTGCTGCACTCCCTGGGGAGCCCTGGGCACCCCCGGCTGCCCCCCTGCCTGCTGCGCTCCCTGGGGTGCCCCGGGCACCCTCAGCTGCCCTCCTGCCTGCTGCACTCCCTGGGGAGCCTCGGGCACCCCCGGCTGCCCCCCTGCCTGCTGCACTCCCTGGGGTGCCCCGGGCACCCCCGGCTGCCCCCCTGCCTGCTGCACTCCCTGGGGTGCTCCGGGCACCCTCGGCTGCCCCCCTGCCTGCAGCACTCCCTGGGGTGCCCCGGGCACCCCCAGCTGCCCCCCTGCCTGCTGCACTCCCTGGGGTGCCCCGGGCACCCCCGGCTGCCCCCCTGGCTGCTGCTCTCCTTGGGGCGCCCCGGGCACCCAGGGCTGCCCCCCCACCCGCGGAGCTCCCGGGGGTGTCTCGGTCGCCCCCGGCTGCTCCTCCGCCTGCTGGGCGGCGGCTCCGCTTCCAGTTCGGCCTTGCGTCTTACGGGCGTGTCATCTCCCGCCTCGGCCCCGTGCCCGGGCTCTCTTCGCTTGGCTTGTAGAGTCCGCACTAGCAACCTCCAGCTGCCCCTGCGCTGGCAGCTCCCGCCGCTCCCCCTCCGACAGCTCCTGCTGCCCTCCCCCCGACAGCCCCAGCTGCCCTCCTGTTGGCAGCTCCTGCCGCTCCTCCCCCGGCAGCTCCTGCTGCCCCGTAGTAAAAGTTTCGTGCGGCACTGCGAGATGCTCACACGCCACGCCAAGCAACAGTTTTTGCCTGATGCCAGCTCAGTTGCGTGGCACTTGGCCCACCTAGTACGTGACAACAACCAGATCGGGTGAACGATCGCATCGCTTGAAACACAAATCCAAAATTGACAAAATCAGCACGCAGGCGAGAATATGGGTATAGAACGGTAATCATACACACGACGAAACAAAATGCAATCAGCAGATTCAACCATGCGTTGCACGTGACAAAATGCCGAAATGCCGCCGACATGAGCACGTTGCCTGATGCAGACCTACCGACCCTGACTGGTCAGACCTCCTGACTTCAGAACACTGACCAATCAGACTAACGATTTTTTGGCCGAAGTGCCTTCAGACTAAATCCGGGAAGAAATTTTCCCCATCAGGGAGCCTAAAATTGTAACGCCAGTCCTGGTGGGAAACCAGAATTTGCCGAGCGCGGCACCGCACAGTTGCGTTGGTATGCGGTAATCAGCTTCTATGCTATTATAAGTATGCTTTTACAAAATTGCATGATCATCTTAAAATTTGAAGGTAACTGTGACGATTCAGACAAAAAAAGTTGTGTTTGTCTTGATTTTCAGACTAAAATTTTGAGGCACCTCTGACAGACAGAGTTCCAGGAGGGGTGTATACTGATCGATCAGAGTGCCTCAGAACGAATCTAGGGGCCTGGGGGAGAGGCAAGAAAAAGCCCCTGATCTAGGTATGAACACAAAGGGCGGAAAAACTACCATACGAGAGAAAATTGTCAATCGAGTATGCATGTTGTTATTTAGGCTACATTGAGGTTAGCTGTAAAGGGTACACAAACTAGGGTTTGCCATTCGTACCCAATCCTATCGTCATCATCCGGACAAAACACACCCGATATTGTACATCCCCCGAGTGGCTTGTGTGGGCTGGGTGTCAAGAGCACAAGCACAAGCAGAGTTATAAAAGCCCAAGCAGCACAATTATCACAACATAGCAATAGCAAGCATGCAGGTATATATGTATATAGATCACAGTACAAGACACGTCAAGCAACCAGCAGGTGGGGTAGAACGGGAAGAAGCCTAAGAGCAGTACAAAAACACTGATGATCACTAGACCCGAGGGCCTTGGTGAAGACATCAGCAGTGTTGGCCCGAAAGACCACGTAGGAAAGGCGAAGCTGACCAAGTTGCTGCAGCTCTTGAGCAAGAAAGTAACGAAGAGCAATGTGCTTCGTTCCGTGTGTCAAACTGTAATGCTGCTTATGTTGTGTATGCTATAGTGGGGTAGCCTATATGCGCGCTCTACTGCCCGTGCCGCCCAAGCCAAGCCGCGCCGCCCAGCCCAAGCCGCCTTGTTGCTCGTGATACTGCTGCTGCTGGTGGAGGTGCTGCTAGGAGTGCTGGAGGTGCTGTAGCCTAGCCTCACCGAGCTGCTCTGCTGCTCTTACTGCTGCTACTGCCGCTCGTGCTACTGCCTTCTTTCCAAATCGCCCTACTGGTCGCGCGCCTCCTTGCTTGCCCGCTATGACTTCACTTCGTAGTAGCGGTGGGAGTGGTGACAGTGGTGGTGGCAGCAGTGAGAGTGGTGGCGGCCGTAGTAGCAGTCGCTGTGGAGCTGTTCGGTGGGGAGTTTCTGGCGGTGGCCAGAATGGGGTTGCTGAGCGCCGCAATGGCCTAGTCATGGAGGTCGCTTGTACCTCCATGATCCATGCGGCTGCTCCCCATTTTCTGTGGCCATTTGCATTCCGGTAGGCTGCGCATCAGCTCAACCTCTGGCCCCGTGTCTCCTTGCCGGAGACCTCACACACTGCGTTGGACGGGAGAGGTTGGCGATGCGTCGGTGTTCCGGGTCTGGGGCTCTCGTGCCTTTGTCGGCGATACCTCCGCGGACAAGCTCTCCTCGCACGCCGTTCCCTGTGTCTTCCTTGGCTTTCCCCCTGACGCGCCTGACTGGCAGTTTTACCACTTCACCTCGTGCCGTGTCCTACCCTCTCAGAACGTCACATTCGATGAGTCGGTTCCCTTTTACCGTCTCTTCCCCTACCGCACTGGCCCTCTCCCCCCCCCACCGCTCTTCCTCGCTCCAGGTCCCCCTCCGGTAGACCCCCTCCCTCCTCAGGGTCTTGCTCATTCAGGTGTGTCTCAGGTAGACCCACTCCCCTTGGTTGAGCCCGTCGAGGTCACTGGTGACTCTGGTGCTGCTCGGGGTGCTGCGTCTGGGAGTGCTGAGCCTGTGGTTGCGGAGCCTGAGCGTGCGGAGTCTGGAGGTGCTGAGCCTGAGCGTGCGGAGCCTGGGGGTGATGAGCCTGTGGGTTTGGAGCTTGCGGGTGCTGAGCCTGAGCGTGTGGAGCCTGGGGGTGCTGAGTCTGGGGGTGCTGAGCCTAGGGGTCCTGCGCACCACACTACGGGAGCCTCTCTCACCACACGGGTTGCGCGAGTGGTTTGCTAAGCGCTTGAGCCTTCAAAGTGGCACTCCTAGAGCTGGAGGCCCTGGAGCTGCTAGTTCTGGAAGTGCTGGAGGTACTGCTGGTACTAGAGGTACTGGAGGTGCTGGAGCTGCTAGCCCTGGAGGTCCCATTGGTGCCTCGCCCCATCGGTCTACCGGGCGGGAGCCTCTCTCACGACAGTAGCTACACGAGTGGTACGCTTGGCGCACCCGCCTTCGGATTCGCTCTGCTGGAGCTGGAGGCCCTGCCGTTGGAGGCGATGGCGCTAGAGGCACTGGTGCTGCTGGTGCTGGTGGTGCTGGTGGTGCTGGCACTACTGGTTTCGGGGGTGCTCGTGCTGGTGGCGCTGGAGCTGCCAGAGCTAGTGTTGTTGGTAGTGCTGGAGGTGATGGAGGTAGTGGAGTTTCTGGAGCTGCTAGAGCTAGTGGTGCTGCTGCTGCTCGAGGTGCTGGAGCTGCTAGTCCCGGAGGTGCGGTGGACACAGCAAGCCTGCGCTGGGACCAGTCGCAGCCACAGCTACAGCCAAACTCCCCACTACGTACTCCTTCTCCTTACATTGAGCAGACAGACTCTCTTACAGAGCGTCGTAAGCCTGCGTCTCGCCCTGCCTCGCCTGTTCGCGCTAGTCGCACTGGTCGTCGTACTCCGCGTCTGCGTCCTCCTCCTGTCCCCGGCACTCACAGTATGACACTTTTCCCTTCCTCTGTTCCACTGCGAGTTCCCCTGCCGTCTCCTCCTGCGTCCTCTCTTTCTGACGGACCAAACCCTGAGACTGACTTTATTCGTGCTGCCAATCCTACTGTCACGTGTCTCCTAGCCACTGTTGTCACTGACCCTTCGTTTGAGTCCACTACTGCTTCTGCCTTAGTCGCCCAGCTTGTTGACTTTGCTGCTGCTTGCCGTCTTGACTATGCTGCTAGTCTTGTTGCTGAGTCTGAGTCTGTCTGTCCTCCGTCCGTCGGGGGTGAGTGTGCTCTTGGCACGGACGTCCTTGAGGACAGGCAGGAGGAATTTGAGTGTCTTGCAGCTGCTGTACCTCATATCATGTCTATGCTGCTTGCTCCTGAGGGAGACATGGATGCTCCAGACATCCCTATTCCGCGCTCTTACGCAGAGGCGATTACGGGTCCCTACTCCTCTCAGTGGCAGACAGCAATGGACACAGAGATGGCATCCTGGAAGTCCACATGCACTTAGGTTGACGCAGTTCCCCCTCATGGGGTGAACATAGTCGATGCCATGTGCATTTTCAGGGTGAAGCGGCCGTCGGGTTCTCCGCCTGTCTTCAAGGCTCGTTACGTTGCTAGAGGCTTAAGTCAGTGACAGAGAGTTAACTTCTTCTAGACCTTCTCCCCTACCCTGAAGATGACCACTCTTCGGGTGTTGCTGCACATCGCCGCTCAGCGTGACTACGAGCTTCACTCTCTTGACTTCAGCACAGCTTTCTTACAAGTCAGCCTGCACGAGGAGATCTCACTGCGCCGCCCACATGGCTTCACTGGGTCATATCCTGCAGGTACTCAGTGGAGCCTCCGGCGACCAGTCTACGGTCTCCGCCAGGCGCCTCGACACACTGAGGACGACACTTGCGGCTCTTGGGTTTGCTCCTTCGACTGCTGACACGTCGTTATTTCTGCGCACCGACACTTCGCTGCCATCGTTCTACATCCTCGTGTACGTTGACGACTTGGTTTTGCCGCTGCTGACACTGAGGCACTTACTCTAGTGAAGTAGAGCTGCAGAAGAGACACACATGCACAGACCTGGATGAGCCGCGCAGCTATCTTGGCTTGTAGATCACCCGGGACAGAGCACGCCGCAACATCACCCTGACTCAGTCACACATGGTGCCGCAGGTCCTTCAGCGCTTCAGCTTTACATGGTCCTTGCCACAGACCTCTCCTCTGCCTACTGGTCACTCGCTCTCAGCTCCACCTTCAGACGAGTCCATAGAGCCGAATGGCCCGTATCCAAAGCTTGTGGGTTGCCTCATGTACCTGATGACCTACACTCGACCTGACCTTGCTTACCCTCTTAGCATCCTGGCAGGCTACGTTGCACCCGGAAGACACCGACCAGAGCACATGGAGGCCACTAAGAGGGTGTAACGCTACTTGTGATGTACGTCGGGCATGGCGCTCGTGCTTGGAGGATGGATTCGAGTCGTTCTCACTGGCCATGCAGACGCGTCTTGGGTTGACGACTTGGCTACGCAGCGGTCGTCACAAGGTTACACTTTCAGCCTTGGCTCCGGTTCTGTTTCATGGTGGTCTACGCGCTCGTCTTATGATCTCAGATCCAGTTGTGAGGCTGAGATCTACGCAGGGGCCATGGCTGCACTGGATTTACGCTGGCTCACCTACCTTTTGTCCGAATTGGGAGATCGGCCTAGTTCTCCTCCAGTTCTGTACGTAGACAACAAGGCCACGATTGCCTTGTGTGAGGAGCACAGACTGAAGCACAGGACGAAGTACATTGCTCTGCGTTACTTCCTTGCTCGAGAGTTGCAGCAGCGTGGTCAGCTTGGTCTTGCTCACGTGGCCACTCGGGCCAACACTGCCGATATATTCACCGAGGCACTTCAGCCTCGTGATCATCAGCGTTTCTGTACTGTTTTAGGCCTCGTGCCTACTTTCCCTCGCTTACTTTGTGGCCTTGCTTGTAGTGTGATCTAT